GCTGCGCTGAGTAGGAATTGGGATAAAACCTTTTCTTTGGGGCAGCATCTAACCAAAACCCCAGGATTGTCCTCTGCATTCAGCCCAAGCACTCAGAAACATTTGCTCCTCCCCACGGAGCCCCAGGGACCCACTGGAATCCAGCCAGAAACCCGGTACCCCACCCTGGACAACGAGCTTTTCTGGGGCGAATCTGTGCAAAAAAGGCAAAAGGGGCATTTTACCACAAAACTCTTCACATTCAGCATTTCACCACAGTACTTGCAGGAAACTACTGGGGGACATTCTATAGTTACGTATTTTTAAAAAAATAAATCTCCTCCTTACTTATTGCCTACCGTAATATACCCTTTTGCTCCCAGTTTCTCTTTGAAGTAGTGCTCCTACCCACCCTGCCGCCTCGGCCCTCACAGGTGACGGGGGGGCAGCTTCCCAGGGCTGCCGTGGTGGCCAGGGTGCAAGGGTTCCCTTTTTGGGGTGCCCAGCTCTGGGCTGCACCCACACCAGGGCACCGGCCGCGATGCCACAGGCTGGGCAGGACGTAAAGTTTGTCCCTGGGGAGGGGGGCGATGCCTGCTCCCCACCCCAGCAGCTCCTGCAAAGTGCTGGGTGTCTCTGGCAGTGCCTGGGCAGTGCTTTGCTTCTGGCCCGTTCCCCCATTAGCATCCAAAACAGTCCCAGGCTGCAGGGAACTCTCACCCACCCCTTGTGCCCAAGCCCTCCGTCCTGTCCCCTTGCAGACTCGAGCACCGCAAGCTAGATACCTTTATTTTTAAAAAAAAAACAGGTGGAAACTTATTTTTCACCACAAACCCTGTGTAAGGGATTCTAAACCCAGCAGACCTACGCTTCTTGAGCTGAACGCCCTCCACTCTCACCCAGTCCTAAAAGTCGGGGGGAGCCCCTGGGGCTGGCAGCACGTGCCCTCTGCTTCTCCCTGCTGCAGCAATGGGCTGGCAGGCAGAGGGCTGCCCCAGGCACAGCTGCGCCTCTGCGCCTTGCACACCTCTGCATACAGTGCGTAAGTCCTGGAGAAATTTCTTGGGGGAAGAAGGAACACAAACCATCCCAATTTAACAGGAAAAAAAAAAGAAGAAACTGCAAACCAAAACCAAAAAAACCCCAAACCCAACCCCACTTATAGGCTTCAGGCACCATAAAGACCACTTATTGCATCTCCTTCTACCCTATGCGTGCAGTACTGATCAGCTCTGTGCAGGATGAGCCCTCCCCTGCCCGAGCACCAGCCTTTATATCCAGAAGCCCGGCAAGGGCAGGGGCCGCAGGCTGTCTCGGGGCACCCAGACGCAAGAAAACGATGTGAAATTTTGTATCTGGGTACACCGGAACCAACGCTTGGGAAGTGATGGAGTGATGCCCCAGGAGAGGGTTCCCCCCAGCTCTGGAGCCCCCCCAGCTCTGCACTAACCCTTGCCCTCCACTATGCTTGATGCATCCCCAGCAGGGCCCAGCCATGGGGGTTCGGTGCCCCTGGCTGAGCAGGAGATGGAAGAATTCCACTTACTTTGCTTTTTTTGTTTGTTTTTTTGGATTGATCGTTTTCTGAAAAACATCAGCACGGCACAGGACAGTACTACCCACCCTAAATGTGTCGCTATATACATTCTACATAAGCTCTATAGCAATCACATGTAAACATCATTGTTGTGAGGAAATACTAGGACAGAAAAAGGCAAAGCTACAATGAGGCAATTGCCAATAGCAGATGCTCAGTCTCGGCCAGAGCTACTCGTGTTTGCTAAGGTGGGATGAGAAGTGTGGGGAGCTTGTGGCAGGAGAGACACCGAACCTTGCTGCTGAGACTGAAATGGCACAAGGACCGTTCCCTGACAGGGATCGTCACCAGCGGCGGACTGGGGACCCGCAGTTCAAACCCTGCAGTGGCCTGTGGGCCCTCATGCTGCCGGGCTGGGTATTGTCAGAACCGTGGCTTCCCCAAAAGCGGGGAAAAATAGCCAGGTAACTGTGCTGGTATCAGCGCTGCCGGCATTCCCGCTCCTGCCAGAGACCAGCTGCACACATGGCCCCGGAACCAAGGGCCACCTCGGCAGGGCTCAGGCTCTTGGCATCACATCTCGTGCAATTTCAGGGGCTTTGGTCGTACTTCTTGCAAGACGAAATAGTACCCACACCAGGGAAATGAGAGTAAAACCCCTAAGTCACATCGAGGGGAGACCCCAGGGGACTCTAATCTATCTACTGGCATAGTTAAGGCTATAATATTCTATCTACATAGGATGGCTGAATCCCTAGTGGTCTCTGGGTCTGAAAAATAAATGGAGACGATGGCGATGGCTTGAGGAGCAGTGAGGTTCCCGTTCCCTCAGGAAAACAATGCCTCTGTCCGGCTTGTGGTGGGGTTTGCTCCGACCGGTGATGGGCTCTCTCCCCCTTCCACCTCACCCGGAGATGGAGGGCAAGTTTGCAAGCAGGGAGGATACTGCTTGAGCATGCCTTAAATCCAGCACTGGCAGGCAGCTCCGAGGGCACCTGGCCAGAGGCAGAGTGGGCAAGCGTGCCACAGGGCGCTGGCGAGCACGGGGGATGGATCCTGGGTGCCAACTAGGTGCTGGGGAAGTGTATGGCTTATCAGGTATCGGGCAGAGCATGGGGAAGGCGTTGGGTGCAGCGGGCGTCCGGCGCGGCTGTTGTGCCCCCTCCTGCCTCCCTGCCTCTCTGGATTTTGGGCTGGCTGCTGGGCGGGGATGACAGATGGGTCTTCTCGCCCTGCTTGCTTTGCAGGGGGCTGAGGTGAGCGAGGAGCAAGCCGCTCGGCCTGGCCAGTGCCCCAGCCACCTAAGGAGCCGGAGAGAAGCCAGCTCCCTCGCACAGACCCAGAGGTGCCCGTCCCCCCAGGCTGTGCCGGCAGGACCTGCCAAACCAAGTCTGGCCAGCTCCGTCCCTCTGGCCCCTCTCGTGGCTCCAAAGGCAATGGAGGGCTGGAGCAGTGCTGGCTGGCAGGCATCGGTCCTGCAGCCCCCCCGGGTAGGGCATCCTTCTGCCACCCCTCTCCTTCACGCCTGCAAAGCTGCTTGGCCCCACGGCGAGAATGGCACTGCCTGCCGGCTCCACCACGCACCAGGACCGAGCTCAGCACCTGGGTGCTGCGACCCAGCTGGGCTGGGGGCTGGGAGGCTGGGGCAAGAAGAATGGCTTTGACAGCAAAGTGGGAAACCCCAATGCGACTGCCGAGCACCCCAGTTCGCCAGCGGGGGGAGGCGGGGGCCTCTGCGGCCGGCAGGTGAATGCCGGCTCCATGACTCTGCTCTGACCCCCCATTTGCTGAGTGACAAGTGCCTCATTACAGTGCATAGTTAAAAATCAAGGAAGCGGTACAATAAATCTGAATTACAGTACATCTGAGCCATAAATACATTTTTTAAGTATATACTTTTTTTTTCTCTTCTTCTTCTATTAAAAATTAGTTTATAATCCTGATTCTATTCACAATTAACAATTTCATCATCACACACTACAGACAAAAAAATGTTATGGTGAACACAGCTGCAACTCCACGGCGGGAGCACGGGAGGGCCAGGAGGAGGGAGAGGGCCCGGGGGGTTCCTAGGCTCACCCTAAAACAACCAGTCAGAAGCGGGGGGACTAACGTGTGGCAGTGAGACATCAACACCATGGGGACTCACAGACAGAAGCAGCTTTGTTCAATGTAAACATCGATCGGAAGGGACAGCAGTCTCTCTCTCGTGCGTGCGTGCTCTCGCTCTCTCTCGCTCTCTCTCGCTTTCCATAGACTGAATAATTTCTTTGAAAACGTAAACATATTGGAAGTGCCTTGACTGAGGTATTGAGGTATTCCTCCAAGGTTAAGGCTGTTACCGATGCAGGCTTAGCTGGGCCTCCTGCAGCAAGCTGTCGAAATCCATGGTCTCGTACTTGCTTTTCACTGGAGCTGGGGAGGACTCCTCCACGCTGCAATCTGGGAACAGCAGGGACACAAGGCAGCCAGGTCAGGGAGCGGGGCACAAGTGCACTCGCTGCCTGGCAGGGAGGGAAACTGAGGCACAGCCAGGCACTGCTCAGCCCCCGCCACCAGCAGGCTGCATCCCAGCACCGCGAAGCCAGCCTGGCCGAGGCGGGGATGGCGAAAGGGAGCAGCGGCAGTGCTGTCTCCCCGCCATTGAAAAGGAGCCGTTGGGCAGAGCGGCTGTAGCGGTGCCGAGCCCGGCAGGTCACACACCACAGACACCCATTTCCAGGTGCGCCGAAATTTGCCGGGTGCAGCTGAATTCCGAGGCGCTGACACGGGGCCGTCCCATGAGAGCCCTGCGGGCGGCGGGGAGCGGGGTGCCTGCCTGCAGCGCTCCCCAGCCCTCCGGCAGAAGCTGAACAAACAGTGCCACCGCAAAGCCTGGGAAAGTCAGCAAATGCCAGAAATAAAGCTGCCTAATTTAACAGCAGCTTAACCCTTTTCGGGCGTATGTTTTTGAATAAGCCATGAATGACGTAGTTGCATTTCACCTCTGCCTGTGTGCTCCCCATCTGAGCCTGCACCAGGGTGAGCACGATTTTAGGAACGAGCCAGGCTGTGCAATAAGGGGTGACTGCTGGCTTTGCAGCAATCTGCAGGTGAGGAGCACTGAGGGGGTTCTCCCATGCAGGGGATAACTCTGGCCTCCCTCCTCACAGCACTGCACAGCCACATGCCAACATCTTCATCACGGGGTGCTATCTGTTTCCTCTCTTCTCCGTGCCCAAATGAGAGGCCCTGGGATTTATTTAGATGAACAATGGACATTGGCACCCACAACCAAAGCCAGAGGGATTGCTGCTCTGAGCAGATATTAGAAAGTGCTAAAAGATCAGGCAGTACTTATGTCAGACTGGGCATCTAGAGATAAGTCAAGACTTAGGGTTTTATTTTCTGTGCCTCAGTCTCTCATGCATGAAGTGGGATACTGGAACCACTTTACACCCTACACAGGGTACAGAAATAAATGCACAGTGTTCATGAAACACCTGAAGGTCACAGCAACGAGCACTGAGCAAAGCCCGGATCACATTTCTTTTGCAGGACCAGCACAGGGTTTCACTCCTGTCCCTCAGCTCAGGCTGCAGCCCTACCTCCCACAGAAGGACAGGGCCAGCGAGACCCTGGCTAACGCGGTTGCCAAGTGAGGCAGGAGGTCTTGCAGAAGCCCATACAGCACAGAAAGAGTTAACGCGACCGCAGCACATTTCAGTGCCTTCATGTTGGCTCAGAGGTGCATGTGCAGTGTGGTGAATCTGTCCGGCGGAGCAGCAAACCACCCAGATCACCTCTTGGGCTAATGAGATGTTGCTGACTGCTTTCTCTAACGACTGGGAAGGGACTTCTCTGCTGGAAAGCATCCAGCGCTGTGTAGAAACACAGTGGAGACAGGATGGGCTGTGGTCAGCCAAGATCCAGCAGCCCTGGGATCTCTGGGTCCTCACACCAGTTACTCTTCTTTTCCTCCAGTTTCCCAAGCCATCTGAGTGAGCTAAGAGCAGCTATGCGAGCCATAGGAGAGCCAGTGGGCTTTTCCTGCAAGCTCTAAAGTTGTTTAGGAACCTTCTGTGACTAGGGTGCAGTGCAATGTGCCATCAGAGCTCTGTGCTGATAAACAAGACACTTCAGAAAAAGCAGCTCTTGCTTTCTTACCCAAGTCAGCATATCTGGTCCAGAAGATGTGCCCGAGGCCACCAGAGCTGAGCTGGAACGAAGGCTCATTCCTCTTCCTTAGCGAGGTGCCGTTTTTCAGAGACAAGGCGGCATGCTCTGAATACCGGTAGGTGATGAAGCCATATTTATCCCCCCTGAACAACCAGAGAAAGAATTCAAGATGTCACAAGCCCAGCAGCCCCTCTGATGCGCCTCTGCCCAGCACTGTCCCCCTGGCCTTCCATCCCACTGGCCCTCCATCCCGCTATCCCTCCATCCTGCTGGCCCTCCATCCCACTGGCCCTCCCCATGCCCTTGGACCTGGGGACATACTGCATCTCCTCGCCCAAAGCACCGGGACCGTGGGCTTGGCTGAACGAGGGGTTTGGCATGGCACAGAGCACTTCACCCCACTGGCACAACCGCTTCCCTCGCACACCCGCAGCGGGGTGCAGGGGTGACCCTGCACTGCCTGGCAGTGCTGATGCTGCCCGGGGAGAGGGGTTGTCTGTAGCCGCTGGAGCCCCGGACCACAGCTCGCTCCCCACCCACCTGTTAGTCCTGGACAGGACCTGACACTCCACGATTTCACCAAACACTTCAAAGCGTTTCTTCAGTTCACTGGAGCTCATGCTGCTGGAGAGGTTTCTGATATACACCACCCGGCCTTCCCCCTGCCAAAGCAAGCGAAAGGTTTCAGGCTCTGGCACCCCACACCTCCGCGTTGCCGACAGGCGGTGGAAATGTGAGGCTGTCGAGGAGACCCTGCAAGCCAGCACCAGGAATCAGGCTGCAGCGGGGCAATACTGCCACGGGCACAGTCTCACATCTCCAGGGTCTGGCTGTCTCTGCTCCAGCTCCTGGGTGTCACACCCAGGACACAACTGCTGCAGGGGACAGCCATATCCAAGCTGAAGCAGCCACCACCCTCTTCTTCTCTTTTAAATTTTTTCCTGCAACTTTTTCAGCTTCTCCTGGTGAAGGTGCCAGGGAATATTCCCAGGAATTGCTAGGGGCAAAATTCAATTGCATTGCAGGAAAAGAATGCCAGAGGGCCATGTCTAAATGTGTGTGTGTGTGTGAGTGCACAATAGTATGGAGGACCAAGTTATTTCCCTGCACGCCCACCCAGCTCCCACCCACGGGCACACACCAGGTTCCCAATGCACAAGTCTGCCTCTGCAGCGGGACCGCATCTGTAAAGGCTGAGCAGCTTCAGGGATTCCCCAGCTCACGCCACTAATTGCCAACGCCGACTGTGCTGAAGCACCGGCGTAGGATGCTCCGGGCATTTCTGGGCCAAGGACTCAGTGTATTGCCAATCGCTGGTGGCTTCCGCTTGGGTTTTTCTCTCCCCCCTCCACCCACGTGTCCTTGTTTAACACTGGCCTCGCACCAAGAGATGCTGAAGCCAGGGCTAATGGGCTCCACTGCTGCTTTTCTGGGAGATGAACTGAAAGCTGGGGATTGCTTTGTCCCAGCGCAGGGTCCCCGCTCACTTACGATGGCCTTTTCCTGTCTCTTCTCCAGCTGGCCCCGGTGCCCGCTCCCACCCTGACACTGCTCGCCGTTCTCACACCTGGGAAGCGAGGGAGAGGAGGTCAGCCGGGGGGGTGGGGGAGATCTGGCTGGAAAAGCTTCAAACATCATAGAAGCCAAAGCACATGGCATCTGCAGCAGGGGCTGGGCACCCGAGGAGAGATGCATGTCTGGAGTCACTGGAAAGGACACTACAAAGTCCTTTCTGATAGATGCCAGAGGGAGTTCCCAGCCAGCACTTGCCCCTTCCCAGGCATGGCTCTGGCCCCTGCCCATGTCCCGTGGCTCCCAGCACCATGGAAATCCCTGGCTGCTTCATCCCCGTGCTGCTTTCTCTGGCCATGGCTGACGTTTGCAGCAGCTGCTGATGTGGTACCAATTATTTCAACAGTTTTTCTTTCACTAATTAGCATCTTTATTACTTGGGCCAGCAGAGCACAGAGAGTCAGGGCTGCCACGCACTGGGGCAAAAACGCGGGGGGCAAGAACAGTCCCAAGTGCCCTCCCCCCAGATCCCCTGTACCTGAAGGTGCGTCTGCTTGCGGGCGATCGGGACCGGCAGCACGAAGACCCCGAGCTGGACCTGCTCCGGGAACAGAAACGCAAACTGGTCCTAGAAAGGTGGTTTCTCCGCAGGCACAGCTTGGTGTCACCGTGCTCCTCCTCCTCCTCCTCTTCCTCCTCCTCCTCCTCCTCCACAGGGGAGCCGCTCTCGCTGCAGCTGTCTTCAAAGACCGTGTCATACTCGGGGGTCTTACAGAAGACCATGTCCTTGTCGTCGAGAGCACTGTCCAGAAAGCCAAAGTGCTTTGTTAAGCTGGCTCGGATCTCCTGGTCTCTCAGCTGCTTGACGCCGTCCTTCCACAGCATCTCGCCTCCCGCCTCCTTGCCGAGGTCCAGCCCCTGGTAGTGGGCGGCCGGGACCCTCCTCTTGTGCTCCATCTCCACCTGGCCCAGGGGCTCCCACGACCTGAGCACCTTCCTCTGCAGGGCAGCCTCAGGCTTCAGCACCTGGCAGTAGTCGTGGTCCCCGAAGGAGCGGGAGAAGGGCCGCTTGAGCACGCCCTGCGGCTCGGGGAGCACAGGGCGCCCGGCGGCTCGGCTCAGGTGGGCGAAGAGCTCTGTCCTCTCGGGGTGTTTCCTGGTCGCTTTCCGGGAGGCTGCCGTGTCCCCTGCACCCCCAGGGCTGGGGGCCATCCCGTCCTCCTTCCCTGGCTCCTGGGGGATGTCTGGCTTGTAGAGGTCCTCCTCGGCGGGCTTAT